AAATTTTATTCATTAATACTAAATTTAATATTATGAAAATTGAATTGTAAATAAAATTTAATCGAGTCTTGTTAACGGAACCCAATGTATAAAATGAAATGGAGGGAGTATCAAAAGTAAATGCCGATGACCGTATTAATAACCTCTAATTCAATATAAATAACTTAGGCATAAACTTATGTGATGATCCTTGAGACAGGTCGGGTCAATATGAAAATGTAATACTTATACTGAAAAATGTAATACTAATGAGGAATACTTTATTGTTTATTAGTATTCCATTTTTCAGTATAAGTAATATTACATTTCTATATTAAACTGACTCGATCCGTTTCACGAATAAAGATACATAAGACAATTTCACAAGGTATAAGTGTATGACCCAACAACTTAATGTGACTAATATATATATATATATATATATATATATATATATATATATATATATATATATATATATATATTTTGAATGGTTATTGTAATTTCTTTATAACAACACACCAATTGGTGAGCGGGTTATCCCTCCATTTGATTAAAAAAAAAAAAAAAAAAACATATTACTAATGCAATTTTAAAGTGAGAGGTTTCACTTTCTCGAATAAAAATCAAACTTTTGCTAACACGACTATCGTGCCAAATGTTGTGTTATTAAAACAATTTCCGAAACATGGAAATCACATTTTAAATGTTGAACACAAACACAAAGCAAATTAAAGGTAGCTAGACATAAACGCGAGATTTCGGTCTTCGTCTTCCTAATAAAATTATTATTATTATTGCATTTCATTAATCATTATATTATTTGGTATAAGAATCTTCTATTAGGAAATTATATAATAATAATAATAAAAGAGAAATAATTAAAGTTCAATCACGGTATTGAGACTCCAAAAATGTTTTTCCTAATAAAGAACTATATATATTATATGGGTAACACTTGAGTGAGACCATCTTACAAGTCTCAACCCATGAGACGATGTCGAATCTTTAATTAATGGATCGGGTCTTTGACTCCATTAATTAAAAATCTGATTCGTCTCACAGATTGAGATTCGTAAGACGGTCTCACACAAATTTTATCATTATCTTCAACTTAATTACTGAGTTATAAAGACATGCATTATATAACCATGGATTTAATAATGCAAAAATTCAATTTTCAGGTAGTTGATCATTTGCTAGTCAGGATTTTAATTAATTTTTTTAGCAAATAATTGTGCAGATTCCAGTTGGTCAAGGAGGATGTGCTTGAGCCTCGAAGGTAGCTAAGTGTGATAATCTAGGTGTTCCTCTTCCTCTCTAATCTTTCAAAAACTATACTTCCTCCGCTGATTCAGTTAACGAGGCTTGACTGAAGTTATTTTTAGTCCAATTTTTCATAATGTTAAGTTTAGTATTAGTCAGTATTGCAAAAATCGCGTCTAGACGCTAGGCGGTTGGCCTCCTAGGCGCCCTAGATGGTCCCCAAGCGCCTATCGATTTTTTCAACATTGTCATTAGTATACAAAATTTATATATTTAGAAACTACACTAAAAGTATTACTAAACAAAAAAAAAAAAAAAAAAACTAATTTAAAAATAAGTAAAAAATACTAAAGAAAATAAATAAAAAAGAAATAGTTGGTTTCACCAATGAATAATAAGTATGATAGATAAAATGAGATAGAGGGAGTATTTGTTAACTTGCAATATAATAAATATATAAATTTATTGCATTTTATATGGGCTTGCCTCTTAATTTGCATTTATTTTCTATGTATTAATTATTGATTTACAGGAAAGTTCAGACTCTACTTAAATAGTTAAATGTGCATTATACCAAGACTATGTGGTCTAATGGAACTCGGGTTGGACTTCCATTTGGAAGGTTGTGAGTTTGAGCCTAACGAGGTAGTAAATCAACATATGTTACTCACAACTGACCAGTTTAAATCAAGAATGTTGATTGTAATAGACAAATGACAACGAGGTAGTAAATCAACATATGTTACTCACAACTGACTAGTTCAAATCAAGAATGTAAATTAACATATGTTACTCACAACTGACCAGTTCAAATCAAGAATGTTAATAAACAGCGGACCCCGGCCACCCGTTTCAATTAGTTTTCTTGTATAGGAAAAACAAATGATTCGCACTATATTAATCCATAAATTGAGAATTATTGATAATGGTGGAGGGAGACATGAAATTATTCATCTCTAGGACCACCAACCATGTCCTTATTATATACTAGTTGCCGTGAACATATAGTATAGGTCCAAAAACATACACATTTCTCCCAGAAAAACGTAAACTCGGTTTAACGATTCTTCAAAATTGACGAATATATACATACAACAATAAATGTATTTTTATTAATGTTTGTCTGGCGATACTCAAAATTTGTTAAGTGGATCTAAATAGTTCATTAAGAATTGAATAACCACCAACAACACCAACAACTTAGTTGATTCTTAAATAGTAAAATATAGATAAGATCCTTTCACCTAACGAATCTTACCTTAAAAAAATTTCTTTTTAATGAATAAGGAATTAAATCACCGACCTTAATAATTAATTAAAACCCGTCTGAGTCATATGGTTTATATCCCCGTCGGCCCGTCAGTTTACTTCCTTCTCCCCTTGTCCGTTGCATATATATATGTCAACGTCGCATGGCAATAATCGACATTGTAAACCAGGTCAAAATTGGACGGAGTAAGGATTAGACATCGTCTGATGGTCTCTGGCCCAAACCAAGGATTACGCCGTATGTATGTTGTAAAAATTGACGGATGTACGAGAATTTCCATTCAATTCACTCTAGATGATTCAAATAACGTTTGTGGTACTTTGTAGAATTGCAGTTGATGTGGTCTTTAATTTTTAAGCATTTTCGTGGGAAATCTATAATTATTATCTGGAAATGTGTATTGGGTAAACTCTACTCTTGTATAGTAGTTTGCATTGCACAAGAGCAGTAAATCGTACTAGGAAGAACATAAGCAATGAATTTGACAAGAGTGGATGTTGGCAAGAATCTAATTTGTGACCTTTAAGTATGAGTGTCATGCTCACCCACTAAACCATCTTTTTTTGAGACATTTTATGTAATTTTGATTTTAAGACAGTAAGTGAACTGTTAATATAACTGTATGGGTAAATAGTTGAATTTTACAAGAGTATGCCATGTTAAAGAGTTTAATTAGAGCTGTCAAAATGGGTTAACATGGCCTATATGAGTTGACTTGTAACGGGTCAATAGATAACAACCTTACTTAACTGCTTTTTAAATATATTTCATTTTTGTAAACCCAATAAACTAGCTAGTGGGTAAATGAGCGACTTGACAACCCATTTTTTAAAGCTTGAAATTCAAAATTAAACATTTAAAAATTTTAAAAATAATGTCATATATCAATATTAACATAAAAAAATCTAGAGCATTTACAAGTTTTACAAATTATATCAAAACAAATCTGATCGAGAAGGTTTTATCAATAATTAAACTTTTAACTTTTTAATACAAATGAAAAATCGTGTTTTACTCATTTGATTATGACTTTCAAAACAGTAAAAAAATGTTTGGACAAATAAGTAATGTTTTTTGTAATTATGTATATCTAATAATGTGGTTAAACAAAAACAAAATTGATGTCACAGGTATGACATGGACTGCCGCGTCGGATTGAGGCATTTGACCATGCAGATTTGGTTCACGTGTCAGGGAAATTAAAAACAATTATTACACAATAAGTCGCCATAAGCCCCATATGGTAATTGCAAAAGACCACCGCAATTTGTCAGTTCTTCACGTGAACTTCTCATGCCACCACCTTCAATTCCTTTTCAAGCATTCCCACCCCTAATGCTTTAAGCGTTGATTGTGATTTTCAACCACTCTTTTTTTATTTTTATTTTTATTTTAGGTGTATCCAAGGTTTTCACATTAGGATACTAATTTTCTTGTTGAATTGTAAGCACGTCTAACGTCTTTTGAGTGGGACAACTGACATGGAGATTTAAGGCAGCTCCATATCCAAAGCCAAGTAATGAACCCTTAACCAAAGGTTAAGGATTTTCAACCACTCTTATGCTTCATATATCTACCCCACTCATCAGATCACTATGTTAAAATCTGCTATTCCAAAAAGTTGAACCCCAACGCTAAGGGCACATCACACCCCGGCCCAACAGAGCATCTGGGAGGATGTAAATTATGGTAACTCAACTGAATTAGGCTAGACCTTTGCTTACTGCGTACAAGGAGTTCCCCTCACTTTGAGAGATTGTTCCCATACTGTCGCATGGACAGCTCAACTGGTCATAGAGATGAAATTTTGGAAGAATGACCATGTATAGAGTAACTTATAATGAATGTACAATTTTGTTTCTATATACTAATTAACAATTAGTATTATGTTTCGAATACAAACTGACGAGAAAAAAATGACTTGACCCTACAGGCCGGTGTGGCTGTTTGGGGCAAGGGTCGGCCTACCGGTGGGCATTTAGGGAGTGCAAGTGTTGGGGGTGTTTGACCTTGAGAGTATAGAATTTGGAACCCTCCAAGTCCCAACCATGTCTTAAATGGTCCCTATTCCAAACCCCTTTTATTGCACAAACGACACAATCAACCAAAACAGTACAAAGGATACATAAATAAAATGTCCAACAAAGGCCAGACCTCTCTCTTTCCAGATTTTTCCAGGAGATGTTGATAGATATTTACTACTACGGAGAAAGGATAGATGGAGAAAAAAGAATGTGTAATATAAACATACACTTCTTGTATTTACTATTAACTATGAATTATTCTAGCCCAACACAACATGCATGGCAACCATAAAGTTCAAACTAACCACAAGGTTACAAGTTCGACTATCAACAGAAAAAGCAGTACAGTCTATTGATTCTCTGAGTTTGAGCCGATTAGTTATGAACAACATTGGTTGGTTTACTGGTCCTTGGCTAGGGTTACATGAAAGCATTTATCCCGTGCACACTGTCTGATCGGATAATGACTGTTGATTTCCTCGTCATTTCAAAAAAAAAAAAAAGTTCAAAGTATTGGAGTATGATTACAGCATTATGGATTTATGGGCTGGCTAGATAACAGTAGAACAAGCATACATAATAATGCATCTAATTAGTCAACTGAGGATCTGCATAATGCTGAACATTATTTTGGGGAGGATGATGATGATAGCCCTTAGTTGTCATCGGAAAATAGTTGCCGTTCATCGGCACCGGAAAACCTATCCCGGAAGGCCGACTAGCGCCGGCGCGTTCGAGCGATTGCACCTGCTTCTTCAAGAACTTCACGTAGTGTATGGCTTCGTCTAACATGGAAGCCGTGTCCATCTTGGTCCCGCCGGGGACGAGTCTCTGCAGAATCCTTATCCGCTCGCTTATCCTCTCTCTCCGGTGCCGCGCCGCCACGCTCTGGGGATCCGTCGATATCTTCACGTTGCGCCGCTTCGGCGGCTTCACCGTCTCCGGATCGATGTGGATGGGCTGCATGGCGGCTATCCGGAATATCATCTCCCTCATTGCCGCCATGGAGGTGGACCGCTTCTGAGCCTGAGACGCCGGAAAACCAGAGAACTCTCCGGCGACTTGGTCATGAGTGGGGGGAGAGGCGGTGAAGGATATGGTGGACGGCATGCCCATAAATCCCGCCGGCGAAGATGAACTGCTATGCTCCATTAACTGGGGGCTGAAATTCATCATTTGCATCCCGCTGATATCGTCGGAATAAGCGCCGGAGGAAAATTCCGGCGGCAGCTTCTCCATCTGCATCATAAGCATCATCTCTAGCTGGTCCTCAGAAGCAGACTTCAAGAACTCAATATCCATTATGCCTCCTCAAGACCTCTCAAAAAGAAATAAAAATGGAGAATTGAAGAAAACAGAAGCAGATCAGATCAGAGAGAAATGGAGAAGAGAAAGAGAAGTACTGAAAAGCTGGAGAAAGGGATGGGTATGGGGACTGGGGAGGAGAAGAGTGAGCAGACTGAGAGTTTAATCAGAAGATTTGCAGAAGATGAAGCATTAGCTTCTTCTATATATATATATATATATATATATATATATATATATATATATATATATATATATATATATTGGGGAGAAGAAATTCTATGATGATAAGCAGACCATCAAGGTATGAACCCACTGGGCAGTCTTTATATATACACACACTCACACAAATTAATGGGTTCATCTTTTTTTTTTTCCCCTAAATATAATTTACCAAGAATTCTATCTAAAATATACCATGTCTTCTACTACACATAAAAATATATTTTTATATGATCTTATATATATCGAGTAAACATTCTTTCAATTGCGTTGAGACCTTTTAAATAGAATAGTAAATATTTACTTGTAAGGTTTTGGCCCTAGGCGGGCCGTAAGCTAGCTTCAAGGTCATAAGTTCGGCTCTGATCTAGTTGGCGGTTGCCAATTGGCCTCACAATTAAGCTGGTTAGTTAGGGTTGGCTTCTCTGGGTCCTTTGGTGGATAGGGCTTCAGGGACAGACTTCACTCATTGTGCACTCTTAGATACTGATTGCGGGGGGCTTTGGTGTGAAACAAAGTAATTATTTGTGAATACACCAAAGTCAATGTGACTAATTCGGACTTGATTCGATTGTTTATATACAGTTTGACTCTTATTTGTACAAACACACATACATTAATTGTTTTCTTACCAATTGTCCTACTATTATGTATATAACGTAAAAATTTATAACCCAACGATATTTATAATTATATATGGTATGATCAACACAGTAAAAGTTTTCATCAAATTCTCAATATATAAGTGAAATACCTTTCATTACCAAAGAAAGTGAACTTTAATTCCATCATTCATTCGATCAGGTTGGTTTTAAAGAAGATCTATGTACGTTTAGTATCGTAGCAGACAGGCAGTTTAAGATGCATGAAAAATGTCGACGTTCACTACAGAAGTTTTGGCCGTATATGCTTAACAAGGTCATTTTCAAAACAACAGTTTTGGCCGTATATGCTTTGAAATTAATACTATGTAATATGAAACACATGTATAGAAGTCTATATGGGCGGTCAAGTCGTATTCCTATTTAGAAAAGTATAATGTTAATTGTCGTACTAATGTCTAATGACTTGTTACAAAAGGATGGGAGGAAAAATAAAATAAAAGCTAACATAGATATTGTCGCAACTCAGTCAAGTTAATTGAACAGTTGGTTTGGAAACTATAAGATTTTAAGTTCAACTCACCGCGTTCTGGACTAATTTACCGTGCAAGCTTTTCCTTATAGTTACTTTTGTATTTAATCTTTGAGTATTATTTGAATTATTTTTGTCATGTTTGGTGAATGTCTTTTTTTGGGTCATATTTATTTGTTTTAATTTGACCAAATATTTTGTAAAAAATAATCAGAATGCATCATATTTTCAAGATAGAATCATTCCAACTTGAACACATTAAATCTTTTTGGAGAAAACATATGATTTGGAATCGAAAATATGACATGTTTGTTCTCTATTGATAGTTCAGTCAAAAGATTAAAAGTGATAGAAAATTGAAGTTGTGCAGCACATATAGCAAAATAACACTTTGAGACCATATATAAAAACAATTTAGTAGCCGTGAGACTAAATGTTAAAATAACTATATAAAAAGTTATTGAAATATCCTTAATGAAATAATTATCAAATTAAAAACTTATATAATTTGATCATCCATCAATCAATTAATCAAATATATTACGATAAGTGAGATATGTCTCCGTCCAAAAGAGATACAATACTATTCAAATTATATATATATATATATATATATATATATATATACACACACACACAAGTAAAGATTCCTTTGCTAGAGAAAGTGTGACTTGCTAATAATGGAGAAGGAACAGTGTGAGTGATTTTTTATTTAGCTAGTTGGACAAAAAGGGTAACACAACACTAAATAGGATTCTAATCTTGAAGGAGAATTTGGTCCCACCATATAGATGGCTTAGATCTACCAACTTTGTAGTGATGCCTAAGCGCTTTTGATGGTGCATGAACGCAACCCTTATACCATGGACTAAGGTTTACAGTGCACTATACCATGATGTATGTGTATGTATTTTATATTGTGAGTTTTTATGTCATGATTATGAAATTCTGTACCTTAAGAGTATAAATTATGTATCTGAAACAAATTATTAATTACGTGTTATATTATGAAATTCTATGTTTTGTATTGCGAAATAATGTGTATGTGAACATAAATTTTGTACTTATATCATATTTGAAAAATAAGTAAACATAAAATGTGTATGTGTCTTGTGTTGTGATTTTTTGTATTTTTATGTTATGAAATTTTGTACATCATCGTTTTAATTTAAGGTTCACAATACTATGTAGGCCCGTTTATGATATAAAATTATAAATTGCAGCATGAACGGATATTATACTATAAACAAATCCACATCGCAGTTGAGTGAAACGCTGAAGCAGTCTAACATTCCCCTTTTTAAAAAATTTATTTTTAAAAGTGTTTTTAACAACCCGAAAACCCCACCCACATGACAGTAGTCAGAGGGGGTTTTGCTTTTACCGGGCCTTACCCGACCCTTTAAAATGGGGCGGAACCAGGTGCCGGAGATTCTGCGATCCGAGTACACTTGTCGGCCATCAAGTGGAGGGAATTATTGGTTCTGGTGGGCTGCACACACAGAGTAGAGCTGTCCCCTTGGAACGCCTCTCGAGGTAGATCAGGTTCTGCACTGTTACCTGTTTTTTTAACTTAACGAACTTACCGGTGGTGAATCTGCTGCCTAATCTAACCTGCATAATTCCTTTTTAACTTTCTGCAAAATTACTTGAAAGCTTGCATTAAATAAACCACGCTCTAATGTATTTATTCCCAAATCATACATGGAAGATAAATTACATTAAAAAGGCATGGTAAAATAAACTTATCTAAGAGGATTGTTTCATTTTTTAATGTTAGGTGGGGTTAGTCAATTTACGGTAGTTAATAATTAAAAATAATATTATTGTCATGTCTAGAGTTGAACAATATTAAGAAGGACAAAAGAAAAAATAACATTATTTTTATTATTGTGATTTTTATTATGATAAAAATTTCGTGCTATAATAGTATATATTCTTATTATTTAAATGTTTAAATAAAAAAAAGCTCATAATTTGAAAATTAATTAATTAATATAATAACAATTTATCATGGAAAATATATGATTTTTATTTGGAAATATGTGATTTTTTTTGTTTGTGATGTAGGACTGACGATGATATTAAAGTAATATGAGTTTACAGTTGACACATCAATGAAAGTCATGTGTTTTGCAATGAGTTCAATATAAATTAAATATGAAATTAAACGTATGACTGGTATGAGTCATATCTAGTGAAACGAATGTTCTAGATGGTTAAAAATATGTTTTTTTTTTTAAAAAAAAAAATAAATTATAAATATGTTAGGTAGTGGTTTTAATAGAGGTTATCATAAAATTTATTCAATGTTGTCAAAATCTTGTAGTTGTCATTTTGCATACTAGTATAAAGATAAAGTCTACAATTGAAAGTAGACAACTTTAATTTCATAGGTTGAAACCATTGCATAATATATTCCTTTTCATTATCAATAACTGAAATACTTAACGGAGTTCGTGCATAGAACATAATTTTCTTACCAAAAAATCACAATTTCTATTCTTATCAATACATTTTCAGTCAAATCATGTAAACGGCTAGTTATCGGGTTACTGACTGACATACAACTGTCTACACTGCTTTGCCACCCATAGAGATTTCATCAGCGCTACACAACTTTATTTATTTCTAAGCTATTTGCATAGTACTGAGTGTCATATTTTGATAAACGAATGTTAGACTTGACTCTCTGAACCGTCACCCAACAACATTTAAATTCCAGATTCCAATGTGTCGTCATGCATCAAATTCAATTCGATCTGCTGCAACAATGAGATTGGGCATGCAGCTTAGCAGATAGCTAGCTAGCTTGCAGGCTGGTGGCTCATTATCACTAAGGATGGAGATGTGGCCGACGATATGATGGTGACAACTAACGACCGTATATTGAATAGAAGAATGTGATTTAATTTCTTCCAACTTTTATTTACAACATAACAACAAAGTTCACATTCACTATCTTAAAAAAAAAAATAAATCAGATTAGGTTACGCATAGCTTGCTAACAGGTTCGTTACTCAAAAATGGCGAAAAAAGACCATAAGAAAATAAATCAACCTAAGGGTGGGAGAAAGGACGACTGCCACTGTGGTTGCAAACTTCCCTGTTATATGCTATGAGGAGTATATGACTTTCTATTAGAGGAAGATAGAAACATAGTCGGCCATTGACTTGGTGAAATTCCATGTTCATTCATGCACATAACACTTTCAATTCATATATACATACTTTAATGCTAATAGATCTAAAGTCAACATTCTTTGCACATGAGATTCATAACTCTTCTTTCAAATTATTCAACCAAAAAAGTGTAATATAATAGGTGTTACTGTAGGTAGAGATTTGTCAAAAGTTATTATCGAACCAAACACATATTCAATTAATATTACAAAGCTATATTGTAAAGATATGGGTATGTGATAATAGACAAGGATAATAAAGTAAGATTTTACTATGCATTAAAATAGATGGGGCATTTAAAAAAAAAAAAAAAAAAAAAAAAAAAAAAAAAAAAAGACCATCGAGTAGTTGGAAATTGTTGACAACTGCCGACTTCTTGATTGGTTATTTAATTGTCCAAATTATCTGATGACTTTTCTTGGTAGTCATATTATTAATTATTTATGACTAATAATAATAAAAAAAAAATAGTTGTATTTTTTTTTTTTTTTGAAGCCTCAAAGTGGTAGAAAAACTAGTTTTTTTTTTTGAATGAGAAAAACTAGTTAGAAACAAGAATTCTAACCAAAAATCTTAAGTTTCTGACCAAATTCTCGTGATTGGAGATTAAAATTTTTCAATTAAAAATTTCTTAGCATTTTCTTGTGTGTTTAATTTTCTACTTTTTATTCTTGAAA